TGAAGACGTGGACGACATCAAGATGGCTGTGACGACGGAGCTGCGGAGGATCCCGGAAGAATCCTTCCAGGAGTGAATGGCGGTGTGGCAGAGAAGGCTGGGAAAGTGTGTTAAACTCCAGGAGGATTACTTGGAAGGGGAAAACTTGTAGTTCGTTGTTTGGATTTGAAACATATCTTTTGTGACTCCAGTCCTGGAACTTTTCTGACACACTTCGTAGGCAGCAGAAGACAGAGAAAGTTGAGGAAATATTGTGGAAGAACAAGCTCCCCAGTGGCATGTATCATTGACAGATAGATGAAGTGGTTGATATCAAGAAATCCTACCAGTGAAGGACAGCTCACAGGCTCAAGAGCACAAAAAACCTGAAGCACCAGAACAACAGAAACAGGACACAAGATGCCGACTGTGCAAAGAAGCCCCAGAAAATGTCCCCAGAAAAAGGGTGGAAGATGCATGCTGGGAAAGAGGGCAATGAGAGGCACAACCAAGTGGCCGGGATAGTTTACAGGAACGACTGTGACAAGTGGTTTGAAATCTCAAGATCCCAACTGGGATGAAAAGCAGCAGAGCTCCGATCCTGTGGGACTTCAAGTTCCAGACAGACAAGCAGCAGCTGGACAACAAACCAGACCCAGTGGTGGATGACAAAGGGCAGGAGAGGGCAGTTGTGATTGATGTGGCAGCTGACGGTAACACCAGGAAATGGGAGCATGAGAAAATTTAAAAGTACTCGAGGCTAAAGGAACAACAAACTGGCTCCTAACGCTACTATTACAACTGGTGCTGTTATCCCTAAAGTGGGAGAGTATCTGCAGCAGATTCCAGGTAGAAGATGTGAGGTTTCAGTGCAGAAGAGTGCAGGAACAGTTAAGATACTGTAAAGAATCCTCAAACTTCCAGGGCTGTGAGAGGAATTGAGCTAGCGGAAGACACATAACACCACCCATGTGGGGCTGAGAGGGAGATTTTTATAAATACATATACCAATCAACCACAACATGACGTGTCTGTGGACACTTTGGGTCACAGATGCTGGATTGGAGCAGATCTGTGGAGTTTGGAGGCCGGGTCATGCTCATTTCCTTGACCCACTCCTGCACAGTTTTTGCAGTTTGGTGGGTCACACTCTTGTGCTGTGGGAGGTCACCTGATGTGCCACAGAGGTGTGTGCTCCGTCTTTAAAAATGTTCAGGTGGGTGGTGTAATGTCTACATGAATGCCAGGAACACAGGTTGGAACAAAATGATGCCTAACTAAGAATAAAATGTAAAAAATGTAACTCAATGTGCTCCTGAAGACAAGAAGAACACGGCACAAATGTGAGATTTTTTTTCTTGAGAGAAAAAAAGGAGGAAGTGGAGGCTGAAGTTCGAAGACCAAACAATGAGCTCTGGCCTTCTGCGCTGCACAGCTGTGAATGAAAGAGCACAAAGCTTACTGGGACAAACGTCAGTGTGCTCTGATGCTCTGTGTCCTTTGGCCTGAAATAACTTCCATTACTTCTAACTGTGGTGACCAATTGTGAAAGGTTTCAGTCAGATCAGGGGGCTCTGACATGCACCTGTTTTTTTTTTTCTCCATCATTACAGACGAGTACAGTTACAGAAAAAAGAGTGAAAATGAAACAATGAGCAAATTGTTCCTTCTAAACCTTTCGCTGGCTAGCAGCTAACTGGGTCTGTTTGTTGTTTAGTGCTGCGCAATAACAGGCTTTTTGATTTTATTAAAAGCAGCTGAATCTGAAAAGTATCTGCAGAGTAGGGTCACAGTGTTTGTTTTTGTCAATACAAGCGACCCTTTGCACAGAACAGAAATTAATTTCATCCACTGTTTATAAAAAAGGATTAAAGTGATTTAAAAGGCAAATGCTGTAAATAAT